CTCAATGCGACTGTCACCTGGTATGGCTACATCAATAATGCAAACTTTTTTCTTTTCATTTCCACAATTGTGATGTCTGGTGTATTATGTTCCAAAACTTTGTCAGTCTGGATTTGAAAGTCCTGCAGTAATAATGTTGTTGTTGTTGTTGTTATTTTCTTAAGTTTTTATAATTTTCTATTTTTAATTATTATATTTATTTTTCTCTATTATTGTTATTACATTTATTATTTTACTCTATTTCTTATTATTATAAGGATATGTAAGCACATTTACATTGCAGCTTAGAATGATTTAATCAGAGTTGGACAGTCTTATCTTAAATTACAGCTTTATGTAAATACTAGCCGCCCCCTGGCATGTGTTGCTGTGGCCCAGTCTGTATATATGTTGTTTTGTGTGTGTATATGTGTGTATGCGTATATATGTGTGGTTTTGCACATGCGTTGTAATGTATTTTTAGTTTTTTTTGCTTTTTAAGTCTCTTCTGCTGTTTTTCAGTGTTTTTATGAGTGATGGTCACTCATTGGCCTGATAAGTGCATTGTGTCCAAATTTAGTGTCAATTCGTTCAGTGGTTTTTGAGTTACGTTAATCCCACAAACGAACGTTACATTTTTATTTATATAAATTCAAAAACATTTAACCTGATGATCCCACAATTAATGTAATTTTATTGGTATCTATTTTTATTTTGAAATTTACCAGTAGCTGCTGCATTTCCCACCCTTGCCTTATACTCAAGTCAATACATTTTCCCAGTGTTTTGGGGGAAAATTAGGTGTCTCAGCTTACATTTGGGTCACCTTATACTGGAGTATATATGGTTAGTAGAGAATCCTGCTATAGAAACAAAGGCAATATCCAGCAAGTACAAAAGAAGAAAGAAGTGCCTAGAAAGTGCTCATGGAAAGCTAGGAAAGCCAGAGAAGGATGAGGTGGTCTTGAGGGTTAATTGCAAAAGGGCCAGGAAAAACCAGTTGCCGTTTGATGCTTTGTGTCTATGCGTGTAGACAGACGCATCCCCACCCCAAGCTCAGCTTCATATGATACTGACGCAATGCTTCATGTTGACAAAAGGAGCTTGTTTGGCTCCGCACATCAAACAACTTGACTTGACTAAATTGTTCGTGGAAAGAGATTAAACGGAATCTGCACATTTGCATGAGAACTGAAGGCCTTATCTCAGTTTCTTTCAAATGGGCTTAATTCCTTCCTCTCTCCCGGCTATAGCTTGGGGGGGGGGGGGGGGGGGGGGAGAGGAATCCTTCACTCTGCAACTAACAGTACTACAGATGGGGGAAACCTGCCTTGAATGTTCACCAACCCATCAAATCAAAATGCAACAAGTCGCTTTACTGCAAGAACTGGGTTAGTACATGAAAACTGCTAGGGATTTGGCAAGAAATGATTCATTATTGCAGGTCACTTTTTGGCACCCTGGATTTCATGTCACATGAACCTGACTGATCATCTGGTCCAAGCGTGGGCGAAGCGTGGCCTGCAGGAAATGTGTGTCTTCCCAAAAATGCACCCCCCCCCCCCCAAATATGATTTCAGCTCAGGAGAAGCTCTTTTAAAAAACAGGTGAACCAGAAATGACTTTCCTTTCAGTTGGACCTAAGATTCTATTGGGCCTAAAATGACATAAGGACATGTGAAGGCACACATTTTGATTTTCTGCAGGGGAGAGTATGACAGAGATGTAGCCCTCCAAAACCCTGTGACCTGTGGTGTCTTTTTCACAAAAGGGGTATGAAAAGTCAGGCCTTTTAAATGCACTGCAATTTTCATCAGTGTCAACCCAGATTCCTATTTGATGTTGAACTCTAAAGCATCAGATTGGTTACAGGTACATGTAGGAGTGAATCTATCATATCTATGCTAAAATCACTCCACTGGTTGCCAACTAGTTTCCTGGTAAAGTGCAAAGTGTTGGTTATTACCTTTAAAGTACTACATAATTTGGGTCCAGATTATCTATAGCAGTGGTTCTCTACTTGGGGTCCCCAGATGTTTTTGGCCTACAGCTCCCAGAAATCCCAGCCAGTTTACCAGCTGTTAGGATTTCTGGGAGTTGAAGGCCAAAAACATCTGGGGACCCCAGGTTGAGAACACTGATCTACAGGATCACAGTCTCCCATATAACCTGCCCTATACCACTTAGATCATCTGATGGATGTGTTGTCGGAGGCTTTCATGGCTGGTATCACTGGGTTGCTGTGAGTTTTCTGGGCTGTATGGCCAAGTTCCAGCAGCATTCTCTCCGGATGTTTTGCCCACATCGATGGCAGGCACCCTCAGAGGTTGTGAGGTCTGTTGGAAACTAAGCAAGTGAAGTTTATATATCTGTGGAATGTCCAGGGTGGGAGAAATAACTCTTGTCTGCTTGAGGCAATGTGAATGTTGCATTTGGCCACCTTAATTAGCATTTAATGGCCTAGCAGCTTCAAAGTCTGACTAATTGCTGCCTGGAGGAATCCTGTTTAGAGGTGTTAGCTGGCCCTGATGGATTCTTGTCTGGAATTCTCCTGTTTTTTGAGTGTTGCTCTTTATTTACTGTCCTGAGTACTAGTTTTTTAAATACTGGTAGCCAGATTTTGTTCATTTTCATGCTTTTCTCCTTTCTGTTGAAATTATCCACATGCTTGTAGATTTCAATAGGTCCTCTGTGTAGTGTGACATGGCAGTTGTTAGAGTGGTCCAACATTTCTGTGTTCTCAAATAATATGCCGTGTCCAGGTTAGTTCATCAATTGCTCTGCTATGGCTGACTTCTCAGGGCTGAATTAGTTTACAGTGCCTTTCATGTTCCTTGATTCATGTTTGGGCACTGCATGTGGACAAGTCTACATAGGGACCACCAAACGCAGAGTGCTTCTGGAACATGGGCATATACCCCGGAAAACTCAAAGCAACCCATCTGAGGGATGTTTAATTCAACCAACCAAAACCTGACGGGCAATGGTAAGCCAGAAGACCTTTTCGACAGCCATCTCTAGGCTATGGAATAAGCTGCTTCATGAGATTCGACAGCTAAATTTATAACAGAATTAAAGATCTATGTCGTCTGGCAGACCTAGACAGTCAAGTTTAACACATACACCTTAAACTGACATTTTAATTGGTATGCATGATTTTAATGTATCTTAATCTTTGGTCAATGTCTTTTAATACATGTATTTTAATGGTCTTATGTTTTATCTGTGCATTTTAAGTTTGTTGTTCCCTGCCCCAAGCTGTGAAAAGAGGTGGGTAACCTCAAGTCAACATGGAAGTGTTGGAGATTAGACCTTCTGGTGTGAACCATGGACTTCACTACTAAGCCAGGCCCTATTGCAAAACATCTTGGCACTGAGATAGCAGAGTCTCCCAAAATAGGAGGCAAATAGGGGTGGTCACATGCCGTTTCCACTTTTACTGGGTGTTTTCTGCCCTGCAGCACTGAGTCATGAGGGGGCACATGTCTGTATGCATTTTATTTTTTCTAAAGGAAAAAATAGATCAAGAATTGCATCAAAAAGAGCTGGGTGAAAACTGACGAAGTAAAGAAGTACAAGAGAGGGAAGGGCAAGAGCTCAGATGAATCCGATGTGTTTCTTCAGTAACCCAACAGCCATAATGCTGTCTAGCTCAGAGCAGGTGTATTGTAGTAGCCAAATGTTTGAAATAAAATTGGGGTGTGCTGGGATGAATAGTGTCTCAGTCACATTCTCACAATGTGAAGTTAAGAAAATAGCTGCCTGTCTCCAGCTCACACCTGAAATACACACTTTTGTTCTACTCCATAGACCCATTTAAAGCTACATTTCAGCTTGGAACACACACACAAACACACACACATTTCCTGTATTCAAAGAACATGTTGCTATGATAGCCAAATGTGACCAAAATAAGTGCCTGGAACACTGAAAAAAACACTCAGAGCAGCATTGAAAAAGACTATCCTTTTAGCTACAGAATCCAACTTCTGAATAAAGCCAGCTTCTCTCAGTGTTGAAAAAAAAGCATATTTCAAGGTGAAATTAAAGGCAGAGGTTTGACTGAGTTAGAACGTCAATAATAATAATAATAATAATAATAATAATAATAATCTTTATTTGTACCCTGCTACCATCTCCCCAAGGGACTCGGTGCGGCTTACATGAGGCCAAGCCCAAAATACACCAATAAACAAAGATCAATAAACAAAACATCAATAAAACACTCAATAAAATACAAATCATATAAATCACATGAACAAAAAAATAAGCAATAAACTATCAAAAGTGACATATAAACATTTAAAACCAATGGCCGGGCCAAATGTAATAGGTTAAAATTAAAAAAATAATGCTGACATGAACAAGGTAGAATATAACTGGGATAGGATTTTCAGAAATGAGGGAACGCAGTCAATCCTAAATCTGTGGTAAAGTGCATTATGAGGGCATATTGCTGAGAGTTTTCCTTATTCTGGGAAGGCACACTGGAACAACCACGTTTTCAGGCTCCTCCTAAAGACTGGCAGCATTGGGGCATGTCTGATGTCCCTGGGAAGTGAATTCCAGAGTCGGGGGGCCACCACCAAGAAGGCTCTCTCCCTCGTCCCCACCAATTGCACCTGCGAAGGAGGTGGGAGCGTGAGCAGAGCCTCTCCAGATGATCGAAGAGATCGTGTGGGTTTGTACACAGAAATGCGGTCACGCAGGTAGGCGGGTCCCAAACCGTTCAGGGCTTTGTATGTAAGAACCTGCACCTTGAATTGGGACCGGAATTTAACAGTATTGTCAAGTTAGTGTTAAATACATAAAGCACTTTGGTTCTGTTTTAATTAAAAGCCATTCATGCCTTGACTCTTGCCAATAAATGCATAGCAACCCATTAAGTTCAAATCTACAGAACCACAAAAAATACAACCACCTGGATCATAAGGGTGATTTGAAGAGAATTAAGCAGAAGTGGGAAGTCCAAACATGTGCAGTTGATGAAAAATGTGAGAAATGAAAGAAAGGAAACTTACCCTACTCCGCAGATAGTCAGCTAGATTCCGCCGTGTGAAATTGGCAGCCGCAGTTGGAGACAGCTCATATCCTGGCATTGAGAAAAGGACATTACTTTTAATAGTCTATGGCAAATCAAAACTTGTTCCAGAAAATCTCAAATTGTATGGCAATTTCTGCTCCTTCTGTTGAGAGCACAGAACAAGATTCCTCTCATTTCTTGAATAAGTCTTGTAATCGTGGCTGGGAAGTATTACCACAACAGGCACGAAAGGGAAAAACAAGCCCCTGCAGCTCTGCCTGTGGACATCAAATATTTTGCGGTATGCTTTTACCATCTGGGAACAGGGAAAGCATTTAAACGATGTGCTTTTCCAGGGCTATGGTGACAAAAGGAAAAACAATGGCAAGAGGGCACCTAAGCATTCACAGATACGATCATGATAACAGGGAACTTCATTTTTATTGCCCCAGATTCTTTTTTGCTAAAAGGATTTTTAGAAAAAGTTGTAACTTTGGAACAAAATGTTTCTCCGCGAGGTAAAATAAGCACATTGCAGAGAGTGGGATTCCCACATACCCCTAGCCAATGGGGTCCCCAACCCTTGAGATACGTCCAACCTAATAAACAGATTTAGTAAGACAGCCTTAAACAAAGAAAACCCAGACTTCTAGAAGTGATCCTACCCACACAGCCAACATCCTCACAGTCAGCATGACCAACTCACCATTCCTCATCTTGTAGAGTTGGACATTTTTCTGGATGTATTCTGCAAACTGGACAGTGTCACCAGCCTCACCGACACAGAGGAGCAAGATCTTCTCACTCATCTTGAACATCTTGTCATGATCTAAATCAGATGAGAAAAACACCCCACTATCAGCATAACCTTCAGACAGAGCAAAAGAGAAAGGAACCATTCTTCCAGTTCAGATCATAGACATCACATTGTAGTAAGTTAGTATTTCATGGAAATATAAGTGTAAAGAGATTTGGATGTGTGAGAACTAATTACAAAATAGGACATGTTATTGTACTAGTTCAAACTCATATTCTCAGGCCTACATATCCTGGTGGCTAATGGGTTAAACCAGGAGTCCTCAAACTTATTAAACAGAGGGCCAGAACACGGTCCCTCAAACTGTTGGAGGGCCAGATTATAATTTGGAAAAAACATGAATGAATTTCTATGTACACTGCACATATATTATTTGTCGTTAAAAAAAACACTTAAAAACAATGCAATAATTAAAATGAAAAACAATTTAAACAAATTTAAATTTATTAGTATTTCAATGAGAAGTATGGACCCGCTTTTGCCTGATGAGATAGGGTTGTTGTTGTTGTTGTGTGCTTTCAAGTCGTTTCAGACTTAGGTTGACCCTGAGTGAGGGCCAGGTAAACCCTGGGTTAAACCCTTGTGCCGACTGAACTGCTGACCGAAAGGTCAGTGGTTCAATTCTGGGGAGCGGGGTGAGCTCCCCCCTGTCAGCTCTAGCTTCCCATGCAGGGAAGCCTCCCACAGGATTGTAAAACATCAAACATCCGGGAATCCCCTGGGCAACGTCCTTGCAGGCGGTCAATTCTCTCACACCAGAAGCGACTTGCAGTTCTCAAGTCGCTCCTCACACACACAAAAAAATCTATGTTTGGTAGTGCAGTGGGTCTGCCATCTCTGAAAAGTTTCATTTTGGGAACTTGCAGTGAATACAAAAAAATACAGGTGATAATGCTTCATATTAGTAAATGGCAGTGCTGTGAACTCATATGTGTCACCATGACAAAGCTCACTTCACTGCCATTTACTAATATGGACTGTGATGATCCATGGTTGCTGAAAATCATAGCTCTGGAGGATCCACTACACAGAATACTATTAAATCTACTAATTTAGTAAAAAAGACAGATCAATTAACAATACTAATAAAATCTATCTGAACTAAAATTTGAAAAAACTAAGTATCCCCTGAAAAAGGATGAAAAATAGAAAATCATTAAAGTACACTGCTTTATAGGATTGTTTTTAATATCTTTTTTTTAAAAAAATAAGGTAAGCCCTTTCTACTTTGACAAACAAACCGAAGAAATCCACTTTACTGGGGTCACCGATGATCACCCCAATCTTATTTTATCCCCAGCCTGCATTAACTAGATAATAGCTAAATGTAGGTATGTATTATCCAGGAGCAACTTGTTCTGGTAAAACAGTTCTCTCTCGCTCTGTATTTCAAAATCTACATATCAGTATCTCACTTTCATTTTCTGTTTAGAAAATGTGATTGAATAATCTTCCCTGGAGGATATGTTGAAAAGCTTCTGATATGTCATAATCCTTTAACAGGATTAGCAGCCTATTTTGCAGCTGTTAAAAGTACTTCCAAAAAACCCCCAACTTCTGCACTGGGGAGTTTAGGACTACTAAGTATAGAGTTTCTCTTTACAACAGGAACAATGTGAGAGTTTACACTGTAAGTTCTCCATATGTATAAATCAAGTCTGTGCTTAAAACACTGGCAAGCAATAGAAGGTATTATGCTGACAGGGATCCAACAAGCAAAGTGCTGCTCAATCCACAACCAAAGGAGGAATATAATACAACATATTGGCCTGGTTTGTTCATCAAGATCCTGTATGTTAGTCTGTTGTTCCCTGCCTCAATCCATAGGGAGTGGCAGGTAAGAAATAAATATCATTGTTACTACTATACTTTGCCCACTATTTTACTATCAGTTTTGGTGTTTTTGGGTTTTTGAGAGATAAAGTTCAGGTGATTAAACTTCCCACCCCATTAACTAAACAAGGAATTTATAAATATCTGAAAAGCTTTCGTACTTTCTTTCAACACCATTGTTTCTCACCTTTTGGTGTCATCTAATTGTCTCCTCTTTAATCAAAGTTTCTCAGTTCTCTTCCTATCATCACTATGCTCTTAGAAAGCTCCCTCACTTTGTTATTGCTAGTAACTGTCATCAAATCAGCTTTGATTTGTGGTGATCCCACAAAAGAGAGACCTCAAAGTCATTACCTGTCTGAATGTATGTCTTTTTATGAACCATCTAGGAGTTTAAGATCGTCTGGGGAGGCCCTGCTCTCGATCCCGCCTGCATCGCAAGCGCAATTGGCAGGGATGAGGGACAGGGCCTTCTCAGTGGTGGCCCCCCAGCTATGGAACTCCCTCCCCAGGGATATTAGATCGTCCCCCTCCCTCCTGACTTTCCAAAAAAAGGTAAAAACTTGGCTCTTTGAGCAAGCTTTTGAAAATGCAGCAGAATAGATAACATGAAACTATGAATGATGAGCATAGAATGGCCAGACAATGTTACTGGAAAACGATTTTAACAAGATGACATTGGTGACTACATGTTTTAATTGTTTATATATATTTTTCTTATATTGTTATGTTGACTGTTTTTAATCACACTTTTATGAATGTATGGAATCGTACCAATCTGTAACCCGCCTTGAGTCACCGTATGGTTGAGAAAGGCAGGCTATAAATGTCGTAAATAAAAAAAATGTACTCTCACCAGCACTGCTCAGATCTTGCAGATTTAGAGCATATGTAGCTTTCATGATTGAGTCTATCTGTAATGCAGTGTTCTTCTTTTCCTACTGCCTTATACTTTACCAAGCATTACAATTTTGTCTAACCACAATTCTCATGATATGGCCAAAGTATGACAGCCTTGGTTTAGTCATACTGGCCTCTAGGGAAAGTTAAGGCTTGATGTTCTTCAGGACTCATATATTTGTCTTTTTCAATTATCCACTAGTATATACACATATCGTTGACTGGGTATGCATTTTCTTTGTGGTTCTTTCTTTCCTTCATACTGTTCTCTCATACACCTTCTCCCTCTCTTCTGTGTCTTTCCTCTTCTCCTGCTTTTGCTCATACACCTTCCCCCTCTTCTTCCATTCACTTCCTTTCTTGCTCTTCCCTTTCTTTGCTTTCTTCCCTCCCTTTCTTCACCCGTTCTTTCTCTTTCTTTCCTTCCCTCACCTCATACTTTCCCCTTTTCTTTCTCTGCCTTCCTTCTTTTCTTTCTCTGCCTTCCTCCCTCTCCCCTTTTCTCCTTCCTCCACAAGGAACAGCCTGAAAACACCAAGACAGTGGATGTTGCTGTTGGGCTGTGCTGCATGTCTATCTCCCATAGCAGTAAACACTAAAGGACATTCACCAGACATCTTTCCCATCATGGATCCTTTTAGCTGTAGATGAAATGTGGGCCTCATGAATTATGATTTCATTTCTTCATGAAATCCAAAGGCCAAACAGGGCATAGGGTTACAGCCTGTGCTGGATGGGGTTACACTCCCCCTGAATGCGCAGGTTCGTAACTTGGGAGTGATCCTGGACTCATCACTGAGCCTGGAACATCAGGTTTCGGCGGTAGACAGGGGAGCTTTTACACTATTAAAATTTGTGCGCCAGCTGCACCTGTACCTTGGAAAGTCTGTACCTTGGGAAGCCAGCTGCACCTGTATCTTGGGAAGTGGTCCACACTCTGGGTACATCCCGTATAGATTACTGCAACATGCTCTACGTGGGGTTGCTTTTGAAGACTGTTTGGAAGCTCCAACTGATCCAGTGAGAAGCAGCCAGGTTGCTCACCGGAGCGGTGCTCAGGGAGCATACAACCTCCATGTTGCGTCAGCTCCACTAGCCGCCAGTCTGCTACCGAGCACAATTCAAAGTGCTGGATTTAACCTATAAAGCCCTAAATGGTTCTGGCCCATGCTACCTGTCCGAACGTATCTTCCCCTACAAACTGGCTCGGAGACTAAGATCATCTGGGGAGGCCCTGCTCTTGGTCCCGCCTGCCTCACAAGTATGGCAGATGGGAACAAGAGACAGGGCCTTCTCAATGGTGGCCCCTCGGTTGTAGAACTCCCTCACTAGTGAAATCAGATTAGCCCCTTCCTTACTAGCCTTCAGGAAGAGAGTCAAACCCTGGCTTTAGGAGCAGGGTTTTGAAAATTAGGGCAATGCAGTATGCCGAATATAGGATGTGCAATTTGACTTGGAATGGCTTTAGTCTTTGAACTCTGGATGGCGTGCTTTTAACTTTCAATGTATTTTAACCATTTTAAAGATGTTGTAATTTTAAACTATTTCAAGGTGAATTTGTCGTTTTGAGGCACTGTGTATGTGCCATTGTAAGCTGACTTGAGTACTCCTGCTGGGGTAGAGAAAGGCAGGGTATAAATATGGAAAATAAATATGTGATGCCCTTTTTGAACAGACTCCCCATAACAAATATAGTCACATTCAAGGTGAGTCTACACCAGGCATGGGACAACTTGGGCCCTCCAGGTGTTTTGGACTTCAACTCCCACAGTTCCTAACAGCTTCAGGCTCCTTCTTTTTCCCCCTCAGCCACTTAAGCAGATAGCGGTCAACCCTCCTGTTGAAGGAGCTCCACTGGTTGCTGTTTATCTTCCGGTCCCAATTCAAGGTTCAGGTCATCACCTATAAAGCCCTTAATGGTTTGGGACCCGCCTACCTTCATGACCGTATCTCCTTCCATGAACTGGCTTGATCTCTTCGATCCCACGGGGGAGGCTCTCCTTTCGCCCCTGCCACTTTCACAGGCTCGTCTTGTGGGAACAAGGGAGAGAGCCTTCTCCGCTGTGGCCCCCCAGCTTTGGAACTCATTGCCAGGTGAAATTAGGCAAGCCCCCTCCTTAGATACCTTTAAGAAGGACCTCAAAACCTGGCTCTTCCGCTATGCCTTCGGAGAGTAAACGCACAACTAGACATTGCTGCTACTCCTCAACATTTATTTCTACAGTACACTTTCCCACGCTTGTATGAAAGCCTGTTTCTACGCCCCCGTTTTTATGTGCTCTCCCTTACAAATAATCTGCTCCTTTCCTATCTCACCCTGAGTTTTTTTTAGTTGTTAGTATTTTATTCTGTACATGTGGCCTGCTTATTGTCACTGGGATTGTGACTGTCTTTCACTGTATTGTATATTGTTTACTGTATTCTCATGTTTTATGTATTTTATTGTATTGTTGTTTTATGCCTTGGTTTTATTTTATTTTGTTGTAATGTGTTGTCAGGCTTGGCCCCATGTGAGCCGCCCTGGGTCCCTGTTGGGGAGATGGTGGTGGGGTATAAATAAAGATTGTTATTATTATTATATTATGCATGAGGCCTGAGGCTGTTAGGAACTGTGCTCATTCAGAATCCCTTGTGTGCATTCAGAAGACCTACAAGCCACTCTAAACACCTTCGCAGAAGCACACGAGAAGCTCGGCCTGTTACTGAACATCGAGAAAACCAAAGTGCTCTTCCAGCAGTCACCAGCCAATTCCTCTCCAATGCCAGAAATACAGCTTAATGGTGTAACATTAGAAAATGTTGACCATTTCCATTACCTTGACAGCCACCTCTCCACCAAAGTCAACATTGACACCAAAATACAACACCGCCTGAGCTCTGCTAGTGCAGCTTTTTTCCAAATGAAGTAGAGTGTTTGAGGACCGGGACATCCGTAGGGATACCAAGGTGCTTGTTTATAAAGCTATTGTCCTCCCAACCCTGCTATATGCCTGCAAAACATGGACTATCAACAGACATCACATGCAACTCCTGGAATGATTCCATTAGGGTTGCCTCCGAAAAATCCTGCAAATCTCTTGAGAAGACAGGCGGACAAATGTCAGCGTGCTGGAAGAATCAAAGACCACCAGCACTGAAGTGATGGTCCTCTGCCATCAACTCCGCTGGACCGGCCACGTTGTCCGGATGCCCGATCACCGTCTCCCAAAGAAGTTACTCTATTCCAAACTCAAGAATGGCAAATGGAATGTTGGGAGACAGGAAAAGAGATTTAAGGATGGGCTCAAAGCCAACCTTTCAAACTCTGGCATAGACACTGAGAACTGGGAAGCCCTGGCCCTTGAGCGCTCCAGCTGGAGGTCAGCTGTGACCAGCAGTGCTGCAGAATTTGAAGAAGCAAGAATGGAGGGTGAAAGGGAGAAAAGTGGGTAGGCGCGTCAAGCCAACCCCGACCGGGACCACCTTCCACTTGGAAACTGATGGGAGAGCATGTAGGTCAAGAATAGGGCTCCACAGTCACCTACGGACCCACCGCCAGTATACTGATCCTGGAAGAATATCCTACTCGGCAGGCCCGTAGCCAGGATTTCGTTTCGGAGGGGGGGGGGGCTAAAAAAATTTCAGGGGGGTTTTGGGGGGGGCTGAGTTTCGGGGGGGGGGCTGAGTCTGAGTGAAAGAGGGTCTACCCTAGCAAACCTTTTGTATCGTTACCCCAATACCCCCATGCATATGGGATATATTGAGTATGGTGATCAGATAATGATATGAATAAACATAACAGTTTAAATAATGCACCAGTAAGGCCTTTTCGCGAACCACCATGAGAATTTCGGGGGGGGGGGGGCTGAAGCCCCTCAAGGCCCCCCCCCCCCCCCCCCGGCTACATGCCTGCTACTCGGACAACGAGGGATCGCCTAAGTAAGTAAGTAAGTAAAGTTAGGAACTGAGGGAGTTGAAGTCCAAAACACCTGGAGGGCCCAAGTTGCCCCATGCTTGGTCTACACTGTGGAATAAATGCGGTTTGAACCCCCCTTGACGTGCCCCGGCTCAAAGCCATGGGGGATGGGTAGCGTATGCTTGCTGAGGCCCTCGCTGCCAGAGACGGACCAATGGCAACCAACACGTTGCCAAACCGCGCTAACTCTCCGGGAAAAATGTTAGGCCCACTGACCGCGCTTCATGTGAACGATGCTGGAGGCGGCCACGGTGTCTGCGGCGACCAGCACGAAGTCCGGCCCCTGGATGCCAAGAAGGTACTCCATTACGACGAGAAGGAACAGGAGGAAGCGCGGCGAGGATGACACAGCGACAAGGCGAAGGAAGCCGGTCTTCGCGGCGCGGCTCAGTGACGTCACCCAACGCGGTGCGACCTCTCGCGAGAGGATGCCCGCATTCGCCTGCTTTGCTTTCTTCGCGCCGAAAGAGAAGTTCCGCCCTTTGACGCTATTCCCGCGAGATCTAAGTAACTCTCGCGAGATTTCCCTACCTCTTGTCATTATTGACATCCTTGGCAGGTTTTCCACCTGTGTGGTTTTGAAGGTTGTGGTGATCTCTTCTCTTGAGAGAAAAGCGAGGTAGCTATCTATCTATCTATCTATCTATCTATCTATCTATCTATCTATCTATCTATCTATCTATCTATCTATCTATCTATCTAAATGCTCTGTGCATAATGAGTACCTTAAAAACAAAAGAACCAAGGAACGAAATCACACCAAATTTGCCAACAAAACGTCTCACTACACAAGGAGTGACCATCACTCAAAAATTATGCTTTTGTCATTTGGGAGTTGTAGTTGCTGGGATTTATAGTTCACCTACAATCAAAGAGCATTCTGAACCCCACCAACGATGGAATTGAACCAAACTTGGCACACAGGCCTCCCTTGACCAACAGAAAATACCAGCAGCGTTTGGTGGATATTGACCTTGAGTTTGGGAGTTGTAGTTCACCTACATCCAGAGAGCACTGTAGATTCAAACGATGGATCTGGACCAAACTTGGCACAAATACTCAGTATGCCCAAATGTGAAGACTGGTGGAGTTTGGGGGAAATAGAACTTGACATTTGGGAGTTGTAGTTGCTGGGATTTATAGTTCACCTACAATCAAAGAGCATTCTGAATTCCCGCAATGATAGAAATCAAACTTGACACACAGAATTCCCATGACCAATAGAAAATACTGGGTTTGACGGGCGTTGACCTTGAGTTTTGGAGTTATAGTTCACCTACATCCAGAGAGCACTATGGACTCAAACAATGATGGATCTGGACCAAACTTGGCACAAATACTCAATATGCCCAAATGTGCTGGAGTTTGGGAAAATAGACGTTGACATTTGGGAGTTGTAGTTGCTGGGGTTTATAGTTCACCTACAATCAAAGAGCATTCTGAACCCCACCCACGATAGGACTGGGCCAAACTTCCCACACAGAACCCCCATGCCTTGGAGCCTCCCTCCAGCCTCTCATGCTCTCCCTCGCCTGCACATGCACACCATGCTGTTATGCCCCCGAGCATACATGCTCTCCCCTCCTTGCTTGGGGCCTCAGAAACAGCCCTCACCTTGGCTGAGAGGCCGGCCAATCACAAGGAGGAGGGCTTTTGGTGTGAGGATTCGCCCATCTGTTTCCAAAAAGGAAGAGAAGGACAGGTGGAGAGATCTTCAGCCATCTCTGCCAAAGGGGTTCCTAAGATCACCAAAAATATATGTTTGGTGAGTAGTGTACTTTGGTTTTAGAGTTCACCTCCATCCAAGCAGCACTGTGGACTCAAACAATCATGGATCTGGACCAAACTCTACAAGAATACTCAATATGCCCAAATGTGAACACTGGGGGAGTTTGGAGAAAATAGAATCTTGACATTTGGGAGTTGTAGTTGCTGGGATTTATAGTTCACCTACAATCAGCATTCTGAATCCCACCAACGATAGAATTGGGCCAAACCTCCCACACAGAACCCCCATGTGGGCCACAGCAATGCGTGGCAGGGGATGGCTAGTTATTACTATTGTAGCAGTTACTACTATTTACTGGGTTGTTGTAGGTTTTTTTGGGCTATATGGCCATGTTCTAGAGGCATTCTCTCCTGACGTTTCGCCTGCATCTATGACAAGCATCCTCAGAGGTAGTGAGGTCTGTTGGAACTAAGAAAAAGGGTTTATATATCTGTGGAATGACCAGGGTGGGACAAAGGACTCTTGTCTGCTGGAGCTAGGTGTGAATGTTTCAACTGACCACCTTGATTAGCATTTGATGGCCTGGCAGTGCCTGGGGCAATCGTAGAATCATAGAAATCATTGCATTCAAATCACCCCTGACAGATGGCTATCCAGCCTCTGTTTAAAAGCTTCCACTGCTGAACGGCTCTCAGTCAGGAAGGTCTTCCTCATGTTCAGATGGAATCTCCTCTCTTGTAGTTTGAAGCCATTGTTCCACGTCTTAGTCTCCAAGGAAGCAGAAAACAAGCTTGCTCCCTCCTCCCTGTGGCTTCCTCTCACATATTTATACATGGCAATCTTTTGTTGAGAGGTGATCAGATGTCCCTGATTGTTTTCCCTCTGCTGTTTTGCTGTTGTAATTTTAGAGTTTTTTAATACTGGTAGCCAGATTTTGTTCATTTTCATGGTTTCCTCCTTTCTGTTGAAATTGTCCACATGCTTATGGATTTCAATGGCTTCTCTGTGTAGTCTGACAGACCTCACTACCTCTGAGGATGCTTGCCATAGATGCAGGCGAAACATCAGGAGAGAATGCCTCTAGAACATGGCCATATAGCCCGAAAAAACCTACAGCCCAGTGATTCCGGCCATGAAAGCCTTTGACAATACATTATTACTATTTATGTCCGTACGGGGACATGAGAGAATCCCCCCACAAGGATGTGAGAAACATCCAAACAAAGTTGGCAGTTCGAATTTGGGGCATGGGGTGAGCTCCCTCTGTCAGCTCTAGCTTCCCACTAGGGGACATGAGAGAAGGCTCCCACAGGATGGTAAAACATCAAAACATCCGGGCATATTTATTTATTTAACACATTTATATTTTGCCCCTCTCAGCCCAGAGGCGACTTGGAGGGGTTCACAATTGGCAACAATTTGATGCCTCAACAATTTTAACAAGTAAAACAATCATAAAGTACTGTTAAAACATCAGCATATCATATAAGAATACAAAAAACCATACAAAGCCTTAAAAACATTATTCTGAGCGTCTCCATGTCAAGTCATTATTCAATTGCGTCATCAAGTGGTTCCATGATTTCGTATAACTATGCCGTATGGCGTTCCACAGTCGAGGAGCTACCACTGACAAGGCCCTGTCTCTCGTCCCCACCAAACGCATCTGCGAGGATGCGTTTTTGAACTGCTAGGTTGGCTGGTGCTGGACCTAACAACGGGAGCTCACCCTGCTCCCAGACTCGAACTACTGACCTTTCAGTCAGCAAGTTCAACAGCTCAGCAGTTTAACCCACTGGACCACTGCTCCTATTCCACCAACATAGTACAATGTAGTAATATATAATATTTTTTATATATAGCCCCAGGTCTTGGCAGTGGCCAGGGGAGCATTTGCACAATTAAAGCTACGCCCGTACCTTAGGAAGTCTGACTTGGCCACGGTAGTCCACACTCTGGTTACATCCCGTATAGACTACTGCAATGTGCTCTCCCTTTCATAGAATCAAAGAGTTGGAAGAGACCTCATGGGCCATCCAGTCCAACCCCCTGCCAAGAAGCAGGAATATTGCATTCAAATCACCCCTGACAGATGGCCATCCAGCCTCTGTTTAAAAGCTTCCAAAGAAGGAGCCTCCACCACACTCCAGGGCAGAGAGTTCCACTGCTGAACGACTCTCACAGTCAGGAAGTTCTTCCTCATGTTCAGATGGAATCTCCTTTCTTGTAGTTTGAAGCCATTGTTTCTTGTCCTAATCTCCATGGATTTCTTTTAAACCCCTCTTACCAGATACATCCTACCTCTGTACATGCCTAGCGTTTATTTTTTAAATTTTAAACTATTACATTTGGCCTGGTCATAGGTTTTTAAATCCTTGCGGGTGATTTGTGATTTATTTGTGGTAAGAGGGGTTTAAAAGAAACCCATGGAGATTAGGACAAGAAACAATGGCTTCAAACTACAATAAAGGAGATTCCATCTGAACATGAGGAAGAACTTCCTGACTGTGAGAGCCGTTCAGCAGTGGACCTCTCTGCCCCGGAGTGTGGTGGAGGCTCCTTCTTTGGAAGCTTTTAAACAGAGGCTGGATGGCCATCTGTCAGGGGTGATTTGAATGCAATATTCCTGCTTCTTGGCAGGGGGTTGGACTGGATGGCCCATGAGGTCTCTCCCAACTCTTTGATTCTATGATTCAAAGATGAACTGAACCATCTAAACTGGGCTTTACAGGCCAATGGATACTCCACCGCAGACATCAGAAGAGCTGCAAGACCGAGAACAAGCCACGAGAATAAAGACAAAGATCCACCCAGAGGAAAAGTGTTTTTGCCATACATCAAGGGAACCACTGACCGCATAGGGAAGCTGATGAGGAAACACAACATACAAACTATCTACAGACCCACCAAGAAAATCCAACAAATGCTACGTTCAGCAAAGGACAAGAGGGATCCTCTCACTTCTGCAGGAGTCTACCGTATACCATGCAGCTGTGGACAAGTCTACATAGGGACCACCAAACGCAGCATTGCCCAAACATGCATCAAGGAACATGAAAGGCACTGCAGACTACTTCAAGCAGAGAAGTCAGCCATAGCAGAGCACCTGATGAACCAACCTGGACACAGCATATTATTTGAGAACACAGAAATGCTGGACCACTCTCACAACCACCATGTCAGACTACACAGAGAAGCCAATGAAATCATAGAATCAAAGAGTTTATGTGCAATCATATCCTGAGATCTCTGCCATCGGCGGTGGCGGGGAGGGCTTTTGCACAATTAAGACTCGTGTGCCAGCTGCGACTGTACCTCGTGAAGTCAGATCTGGCCAGGGTGGTCCATGCCTTAGTCACCTCCAGATTGGATTACTGTAATGCACTCTACGTGGGGCTGCCCTTGAAAACGGCTCGGAAATTTCAATTGGTACAACGGGCGGCAGCCAGGTTACTAACTGGTGCTTCTTACAGAGAGCGGTCAACCCTCCTGTTTAAGGAGCTCCACTGGCTGCCGTTCATTTTCCAGTCCCAATTCAAGGTGCAGGTTCTTACCAACAAAGCCTTGAACGATTTAGGACCTGCCTATCTGCGTGACCACATTTCTGTGTATGAACCTACACGATCTCTTCAATCATCTGGAGAGGCCCTGCTCACGCTCCCACCTCCTTTGCAGGCGCG